ACAGCAATATTTTAAAATGATCCTTAGCTTTATTATCGTTAAGAAATTTTATCGATATTTTAGTGTAGTATTTGTGTATAACGAGTTTTTAGTTACGTATTGTTTCGCGATGTAGTGAAATAAACCTTGACTTAAAAAAAAGTTAAAGTATGTTAACGATCTTATAGCTGTATAACTTTGGGCAACGTGGTTTTAGCTAGGTAGCTTAAATAAAAATTTAAACAAAATACTATCATTGAAGGCGGTTCCTGATGTTTTAGTCGAGTAATGTGGATTAACGTAGTTTAAGATGTGTGAAGTTAAAATTTTGTTGTAGATAACGATGTTTTTGCTTATGCTATCTTTGAAACTACAAACCTTAGAAATACGAATCCAGGACAGATCGATAGAGAATTTTTTTTTATATAGTGTGGCATCTATAACTCAAAATTGGCCTATGGTGGCTTAGCGATGTTTTAGCTAACGGACGGCAGTATACCATAAGATAATATGGTATTAACAAATCTCATAACTATAAATGGAAGAACAAAAACATACACATACTAAACTTAAAAAAAAAACAAAGAATGTTATAAGACAAACATAGAATTGAGTAATTAAAGGGTTAAAATATATTCTCATAGTCGCTTTTCGCAGACTGTGTTATGTCACGACTGTTTTTACAGTTTTTATAAAGAAATCTGTAATACAGTACTTTGAAAGCATTAAACTGAGATCGATATTTTTAAAGACGAAGATTAGATAAATTTTTTTTTATATTTTAGTTTAAACACGAAAATAAGATACCTGATTGTACAATAACCAACGAATGCAAGAAGGCACGTGCCACCAAAGACTTCGAAAGCTCCACGAAACATTATCAAAAACAAAAGATATTGGAGACTTGGTTTAAAATTGGTCTTGGTCTTTTTTAGTTTTATATACTCTTATTAATTGTGGGTTATATCTGGTAACTCGTATCACATGATGTCATATTTTGAATCATTTCAACACTCTTTTCAAGTTTTGAAATTTATAAAATATTAGTTTTATAATAATATTCCACTATCAATTAAATTTCTATACATTTTAAGATTTAAATTTTTTTGGAATTTGTGAAACATAAAGTTAGAATACTGAACTTCCGCCAAAACTGTGTATTTTAATCAAAATGTGATGCGCAATTCCTAAAAACGTATACCAATATATTGCGGCACATTTAGAGAGTGCATATTGGTTTTCATGTCAAAGCAGAAAACTGGTCAGTATATTAAATTGAGATCATATTTTATGGTAGATAATAGCTTTTATGTAAATTTATGGTACATTATTAGCATAAAGCAACGTGATTTTTGATATACATATTTTTAAGGGTATTTAAAAACTATTCATTATTTCACGTAATGAAACTAGTTTATATCTTCTTCACATCTATTGTTATTTTCGTATTGTGATAATTAATATTGTTTCTATCTGAACTGTTATTTTAGAATTGCCAAGATCACTCAAAATAAAAACATGCATTAAAATGGTAACGATTGTTTCAAATCTAAGTAACGAGGACAGCAGTATGTATCTGTCTATGTATTTAAAATTAGGGAGTTGGATATAATGTGTATGAGGAAGAATGAACACAGCGAACGGATATTAAATAGGTTCAAAGGGCCATCGGGCTTTGTGAGCTAAAAATGTGGTAGTCCAAAGTTATGACTATTCAAAGAAACACCAAGTGTGCTGTAAAGCTTTTCCGGTGTGATAATAAGGCTTTGAAATATTCAAATAATACTTTGTTCGAATATATGAAGTTTACACTACATCTATATATCTAAGCACAATAAAAAACTATAAATTTAATGAGTATTAGATTTAAAATAGGTTTTAAATTTTAAACATCCACTATTTATCCCCAAATGCCATTGACGTATATTCGTATTAATATGAAATGATGCTCTGAAGTATGGGATTATGACAATAATAAAAATATTCGATAATATCATCGAATAGTGTATTTGTACTTTTATCCATTCGATAATGTATAATATATAATTAAATCTATTTTATAAACCTATGAAAGTTGTGGCGAAAGTTAGTATACCATGCGGTCCATATGTATGGAATAAATTCATTTTTAACGTTATACTGTACTGTAACGTTATACTGTAATGTGAAAAAAAAACCTGAAACAGGTTGATTTTTATTCTTAAATTAACAATTTACAGTATGAAAATATTATACCGCTCCAGCACCTCCTTTGAATTATAAGCACCTCTCGAAAATTTTAAATATCAAAGGGGGTCGTATGGCACATTGTTAGAAAGAGATTTTAGTCATCTGTTCAGCAATATAAAGTTTTTTTAAGTTTGGTGGAATAATTAATAACCGAGAAAATTGATTTTTAAGATGTAAAATTTTGATAATGTCTCATATCACAAAACTTTAGGTTGAATGAAGATAATAACGTCACACAATATTTGGAATGTATTTTTCAATGTACTTTACAATTAAATTAAAAGTTCAAAATTACCACCATTCACTGTTTGACAATAACCAAGACTATTTTGGTATTCTCGTACAACCTTTTGTACAACCTCAGGGGTTATTTTGTTAATTTCTTCCGTTATGCTAACTTTTAAATCAGTAATACTGTTTGATCTATTAAAATATACTTTAGATTTTAAATAACCCCATAAGAAGTAATAGAGAGGAGTCAAATCGGGGGATCTAGCCGACCATTCAATCGTTCCACGTCTTCCAATCCAACCATTGGGAAAAACCTCGTTTAAATAATTTCAAACTATACGTGCAAAATGCGGTGGAGCTCCGTCTTGTTGCTAGTTAGTAAATCGATCGATATATCTCATTTGGATGATAAACATCAGGAAAAAATCATATATAAATATAACATACATATGGACCGCATGGTTTATTAATCTAGCCTAAATTTTCAGGATGCATCGGTTACAAAAATTTCATAAAATCATTAAATTTCAAAACTAGATTATTTATTTATTCTTAATTGATGAAGTAACTTCACGTCAAAGTTTAATATACAGGTTTCCCTCTGAAGTAATGAAGCTTTTGAAATCTTCCAAGATATCGGGGTGGTTAACATAACAAAAATAGTTCTAAAGTATGAAATGAATTGTTTATATTGTTGATATTGATTCAATATATTATCACAACAACGGTAAGCGCGCACCGAATCGATCGGCAATGGAACGCACCGCTACAGCCGTACCGCGCATTTATCAGTAAAATCATGTCAGCTCAGTCAGTCGATTTGCATATTTCATGGACGATGAATCTAAAAATTATTATCGTTAATTTATTGTGCGAGGAAGAGGAATAACAAAATAAACTTCCAAAAGGGAAGCGTAATAAATATAAAAATTGTAAAAAGCTAAACACTGAAGGTGAATTTGCTACTTTAGTTGATCGAGACAAATTTTTATTAATAGTTTCAAATGAGTAATAAAAAATATCAAGAACTCAGTATAATTATAAATACTGATCTCACAAAACAAAATACAACATTTGAACTTTTAAACTTATTTTTACAAAAATTTTAAAGTAAAATTGTGGCTTACTCCCAGTAAAAATAGTAAACTGTATTAATGCCACAAGAAAATTGCTTCATAGCAATAATAACATATTTCTTCGAAAGTACTATTCGCGAAAATACCCCATTCCGAGTTTTCGGCGCGTTTCGATGTGTTCCATTTCCGAAAAATGCGGAAAAGATCGTAATGGTGCGTTCCGTCGCGGACCAGTCCGGACAAGTGCGCGCCTACCTTTAAACCGATCTAATAAATATCTGTAGCAAAAGTTTTTATATCCGTTTACCCTAAATATTCAGGAAGCAGATTTGTTTTATTTAACAAGTTCATAAAATCAATGAAATTTCAAAACTAGATTATGAAATTATTTTGGCGGTCTTCTCTTACCATCTGGTAAAAAATATGGATATTTTTACAAATTTAAACTTCAGTTTACCCAAATGTTTTGTAATTAATTTATAGTACGAATGTTAGAGCTCGTTAAAACTTACCCGCCCAATTGGACATACGCTTCTTCTAATTTATGATACGAACATGACACCATGAAACTTAAAGAAACAATATGTACGACTTTCCCTCAACTACACGTTCGATACGTCATTAAAATAGAGGAAAATTTAATACATTTTGTATAATTGGTCCGTTGGATACACAAACCTTAATAAATTCAACATTTAGGTCAGTGTAAGGCATTAGATTGTTGAAAGTGGATTAAACGAAGCAAGTGGAAGTTTTTAAAATTTAAATTTAAAAACAATTATTAAAGATGGATAGAAAGAGTTTGAAGTGCCGATGCTGAGGCTGAGACGTCTGTAAAAGGACTACGAAAAATACGCAAAAACATCAACAAAACATGTAATCGTATTGCTCTCTTTATTATTGATGTTAGCTATAATATGATACATAATGATAACCAGCTTAATTTCATGGTGATAAGTTTGTGATTAGACTAAGGTCAAGAAAAAATATTGTGAAATTGAGCAATATCCAATGGACATACTATATTGATGATCATTTCATTGAAGATGAGATTGAAAAAGATTAATTTTTCTTTTTTATGAAAGCCAAATATAAAGCTTTCTAGACATTAACATTCATAAAAGAAAGCGGTCAACTTCATATAAGACGGTAAGAAAAAAGTATATAAAAAATAAGTAATATATAAAAAGGAAACTAGATATTGGAGAGAGATAAAAAACATGGGTATCAGAATAAGGAAATCAATACCCAAAATAATGATCAAAATCCTACAAAATTCATATAATAACATTAACAATCTAATTTCAACTGAAGCTAGTTGGTAATACATGTATTTGTAATACTTTTACGTGCTCACATATGTATTTGTAATACATATGTAAGGACGAAAAATTTATAGCTGTTAGATTTTATTTTATTTTTTGTTATTACGTAGATTTTTATACTCATCTCCAATTATTGCTCATATTTTTTTCTTTGTTACAGAACTTCCTGCGGAAGAAGGTAAGTGTCTCTAATTATTAGGTCAACGTCGAGTTATTTAATCGCCTACAATGAACGAAAGTAAGTCTGAAAATAGTTTCTACATTGTGTTGATATTTTTTTTTTAAACTATTTCGGAAACGTTTTTTAAATTATTACTTTTTTTAACACACAGGAGATGTCCTACATCTGCAACTATTTTATATCAATTGATTTTTGGTCTTTCTCCATTGATATTGTCTTTTTACTAGTTGCTACTGCCAAATTTTTTTTATTATAATTATGCGAATGATTTTTCTTTTTTTGTTCTTGTGTGTATTTGTATCATCTTAAACTTTAAACTTTTATACTATATTCTTTATTTAATTTAAATTTAATTATTTTTAACTTTGTCCAATCTTGCACAAACTAGATCAGTTTTTTTAATTGGCTGCACACTTCTGTATAAATTTGTTTTCCTTGGGATTTGAATTATTTTAATTATGGTGTCTTTGATCCGTCGATTTTCAGTTATATTAAAAAAAGTATGTAGAAAATATTCTCTTACTTTAATACATTAATCTAGTTAAACTCAAGGATGACAATATTTCTGATGAAGTTGATTAGCTTCCTAGGTGACTTGTTTACTGTGTCAGAGGGTGCTAGACTGACCTCTTGTAGTAATTTTAGTCGTTTGCAAAACAGTGTTACGCAGTTACATAGTATATATTCTAACGCTTTTTTTTTTCGTTTTCACAGAAACAACAGTTGTCACTATCTTTTTTACTTATTTCGAAAATGCGGTTTCTTGCAATAGGGTACACTTTTATGAGCCTTTTTGCTTGGATTTGTCCTGGTATGTTACACCAATGTAATCTTAGTTGATTGAGTTTCCAGATCCGGAGTTTCGGATCTGGAAAGGCCCAGAAGGGTTATGGACTCTGAAATGAGGTATTAGCCCTTTCTTTTGCGAGGCTGCCACCTTCCTCATTTCCTGCAACTCCCCTGTGACCTGGCACCCACATCTAAGTTGTTTCTACTAATTTTTTCTCAGATTTTCAGGTTATACCATAGATATCCTCTACACTATTAGATGCCACTTTATACACTATAATCTTTTCTTTCTAGATTTTCATTTTAGTTTCTTCTCATTCGTGTTTCCCCTTTTCGCTTTTTGATCAATTTAAGTTTTTTTCATTATTCGTCCTCTCTTTGTTCCCTGATGTACTGGCTTTTTCATCTTTTATGTTCTCACACTTTGCATTCTTTCGTAGACTTTCATTCTTCTCCTTTTTTCCTTTCCTTCAGAATTTACTTCTTTTGGAGCGTATATTCTATTTTTTCTTCTTAATTAACACGTGGATGTGAGACCTTTGTACTAAACCCTATTTTCTCAACAAACCTCATCATAATTAGCTGCTATCCTCTAAAACTGAGTCGCTTAACCTAACCTTTTGGGACGTTCAGCGTTATTGACAGGATTTTTCTTCGATCTACTGTGTCGAAGTAGTAGTCGTAGGCTTTGGTTTATTGATTCCCCAGCTTGCGTAGATTTTTTCCATTCAACTGCATAAACCTCCTGATAGAGCACATGATTCGACTTCCTTCATATCGAGAAGCACAAAGAGCTTCATATAGTTTTATTAAAGCATCTGCAACAGGAGATCGATTGATTTGTTTAGAGCAGCAAGTTCTAAAATAAAAATAGCCATTATGATTGCCAACCTTCGTAGAGAGACGGCACTCTAAGAAGAAGAACGGCACCATTTCATTCTCGCAATCGGGCAGTTCTTGGGAATGACTGCTGTGTTGATCCCTATTAGAGAAGTTTTGTAACTTCACTATAATATTTTTGGGAGAAAGTTGCATACAGTTTAGCAGTCTGTGTCGTATAAGTTTTCACTCAAGGAGTAATTGGAGGTTTCCGTGGTATCAGAACCTTTCAAGTGTCAACCTACTACTGCCTTATATTTCTGAGCTTCCTTCTTTGAGCTCCTTATAAGCGTTGTTGAGATACCTCAAATTTATCTGTTTTCTGTAAGAGCGCGCAAATCGTTCTTTAATGTTGATTGCTGTCGCAATATTGTGGAGACTGATGCCGCTTCTTTAGTTAGTAATTAGGTCCTTCTTGAGTCTCCAGTTTTTTAAATATATTTATGTTAATTTGGTCCATTCTGCTCTCTCTGGTATGGGAGAAATAAACCGTACCTACAGAGCTTATTAATCAAGGTGTAATAACTAATTTGAAAGGAAACATTCAAGGTGTAGAGAGAGATTAATATCGATTTTCTTTCATAAATATTATGGTGCAATATGCTGTTTTTAAATACCACTATAATTTGATCTTGACCTTTTGTCTTTTTTTTTGTGTTTTAAGTTTTGTTTATTAATTCTCCACGTTTTAGATTTCAAAGATCACTTGTTACTGCTTTATTTATTTTTATAAAAAAATTGGTAGCGAAAGTTGAAGCACGTAGCACAAGAATACAAAATAAAATCGTAGTTTAGGTGAGCTAATGCATAAAATATAATATAGTAATAAAATAAAATCATTTTGTATAACAACAGTAGTCGACAACGTGTGAGTCCGTCTATTATAAATGTTTGCTGAGTACTAAATACGATGAAAAAAATTATTATTGCACATGTAATTATAAAAATATACAATAAACGATGTGTACGAAAAGATAACGCTAGTCAATATTTAAATATAATAGGAACCACATGTGTATTTTGAATTAAATAGTTTCTGTTTGGGTCGAGGTCTGGCAGAAATTTGTTATCATTTTGTTTTGTAATAAGTCTATTTTTGAATTGTACATTACCTGATATCGCGTTTTTACGAAGTAACTTAAATATTACACTAAATATTGACAAAAAATATTAAAGTCAACTCCTGCGATTTGTTAGTAATTAATAAAATTTATCCTTCAACCAAAATCTAGCATTTCAATGGGACGGAGTGGATTAGAACAAATAAATCTAAATAGACGTGTTAGGCAAAGTTTTATTCTATTTATAATTTATTATTATAATATACATGCATTATTTGTATACAGGTAAATTTTTATAAATGGTTCTCTAATTATACAGGGTGATTGGAGTTCCAATTAGACGTTTTAAAGAAACTTGACATAATTAATATTTGAAAATTTAGAATGAAGAGTTTTTAGACATGCTTAATGAATATAGAATATTTAAAATCTCCTACCACTTTTGGTTATACCGGAAGTTGAGACTTCTTAGAAGCGGTTTCCATCTTTGGACATTCACCAACAACACCAATCTTTTATTTTTTTTTTAAGATCGTGATTAGCACTACAACTACAACTCAATATTCTGTTGCCAATTTGAACACGTTTTCTTCACTATTTTACTTCTTAAAAATGTCGGGCAGGGCAGGGGGTGCCAGATTACATGTGGACATCTTGGTTTATTGAAGTTCAGAATTAGGGAGATTATACTGTATTACGTTCTAAGACTGAACAAATATTCCCCTAATGTCTCTTTTTAAAAACCTTTAACACCGAACCAGAAACCCACCGTATGTATCAATATACGCTTCCATTCGCCAATACTTTGTAGGGATACTCCATAATCCACCGTCCCCGTAACGGAAATCCTACAATTAGTTTATCCTTTTAATATATATTGGATCTACACCTAGACAACAACACTACACTGACAGTAGTTTCTTATTCAAAACATCCTCTCTAACCTCTCTCCCAAACGGTGCTTGAAAATGTCCCTAACCTTAATAAAATCATTATCCTCAGAGACTTAACGCAAGGCACGTACATTCATAGCGATACAGCTACCAACCGTGCTGGCAATCTCATCTGCGATCTCCTCCTAGAAATACTCCTACACATATTACCCAATCATGAACCGATGTTCGTGAACTGCATTGGCGTATTCTCACTCGACCATACCATGTTTACTTACCACATTCTTGATCTGTTCGACGGCGAATGTATCATTGGAGATTAGATTACATCGGATTCTACTACAAAAATAAGAGACTACAAAAAACGATGACTGAACCTTTTTAAACAGTTCCTAACACTTAATACTCCTCAGTTAGGTATTAATTTAATAATAAAAAATTAATAAATAAAGCCTTTAACGATTCAGTTCTTAACATCCTTTGATGCCTTCAAAGCCTTTAAGTACTTCATACTGAATTAAACTACTCTTCAATCTGGGATCTTCAATCCCACCTCATATAATTACCCAACTTCTATACAAAACAAAATAGAAATCAACAGCGTTAAGGATTAGATCAAGCTGAAAGTGAACACCATTAAAGCCAACCAATGGTGGACGTTTACTTCTAAATTGGACGTCTGAGACGGCGGTGCGTTCTGAAGAAAATTCAAAACTCTAACGAATCTTAAAACATCCAATCCATCTCACATGAAAATAAATAAACAAAGTCTCAACTCCGACGAATAAAAAGCTCACTGCTTCAAAGCTCACCTTGAAAACTGTTTTACGATTCTTAACGACCATAGTTGCGGGCCTGCTCTCTATGCTACTACTGAGAGCTCAATCCAAGAAATGTTCGAAAGCCCACTTGATCAAGGGATTCTCTACGAACTTCCAATCACGGCACCTGTGGATTGACAAGCACTGAATTACTCAAATTGGCAGCTCCATCTCACCAGGTTCTGACATTTCCAGGAACTGGAAATTTTCCTTTGCCTCATACTAAATTTTCAGATATTTTATTTTCAGGTTCTCTAAATCGTCTGATTGGAACTCCCAAATAATTACCCTGTATATAAGGTACACATATGACGCTATAGCAGAAACTAAAATATAATAGCTTACAATTTTATGAATATTAGTAATCTTAGCCCAAAATCAACATTGTTGAATCAACAAAGAAAAAAAAAACAAGGAAAGAAATACATACCTAAAATCATGTATAAAATTGAAAAACCGTGAAAGGTTTTTTATAAAGATGAATCGTTTTCAGAAAATTCGATAGATTTTTGAATATAAGTTGCTAGAGACACAAACGAAAACCGGTTCCTAGA